GCAGTGATGAATTGGTGGTTACTAATTTGACGTTTTATTAAGCTGGTTGGGTACTGATTGCTGTAGGTGACTGGTTTAACTGATTCTCTCTTGATTGTTGTTTGGTTGGTTGATTACGGTTTGTTGCTTGTTGTTCAGTCGGTTCAATTCTTTCTGGTGATTTAGTGATTTATGTTTGCTGTGGAGGGACCTCTTCGATCACAATCCTTGAAACAGAATTCCATCCGCTGTGTGCATCTGCATTTCTTCCTTGCCCTTTACAATTCCCTACCCAAAATCCAACGCGCACTTGGCCTGCGGGGATGTTCGTACAGTATCCTTCGATGTGACGGTGACGGTGTATGTCGTTGTGGATACGCGTATAGAAGATACCATCAATAGGCAGAGGTCCTTGACATTCAGCTCCATTAAATGTAAAGTACCATCTTTTACAGCAATTCTGACAATCGATTCGAAGATTACCTCCATAGAAAACACGCAGAGCCGTGCTTGTTTGTTTTTTCCTGAAAATACATTCCTGTATGAAAACGAGAGTATTTTATTGTAAATCTACCTACAACAATTTAATCTTTAGAAAGATTAGGCAGTTTTCAGTGAATCGCGATGAGTTGGACCTTTCAATCAACTATGTTCTCATATGTCTCCTTTGTTTAGGCATGCTTCGCACCGTGAGGTATTATGGGTATCTTATTTTTGATTTTCACATTTTCGACAATAGACATTCAATCATAACTTTCTTGTTGAAAAAAGCTTTAGGTTTTCTCAACGCGAACGTCAATTTTACAATTGCATTTGCTGCATCATATTTTATTATTATTATTATTTTTTTGTAAACGTTATACTAACCTTGATCAGACCATTGTCTTTATCTTCGGACTTTTTCCACGCGCACTGTTTCCAGTTTATTACTGGTGATTGACCTGGTATTCCTGGAGGACCTCGATCACCTTTCAGGCCTGGAGGACCTGAAGCACCAGGTGTCCATTTACCGTCACGACCGTCTCGACCATCTCGGCCTGGAATTCCTTGTTGTCCATTGAGTCCAGGGGGTCCACGTTGACAGACCTGAATCAACAGTTAATCATCAATCAATCAGTTGAGTTTGCATGACACGGAGCGGGTTACATGCGAGTTACGAGTGGCCTTGTACGAGTTTTCAGAGAGATGTTCTGCATCTTAGTAGTCTCATATTGTGTTGTATTACGAACAACGTAAGTACTGCTGAGTTTAGTCGCCATCAAGCATGCGCAATTTACTGCAACATAGAACATTTTGAATAATTATTTATCCCACATGGAAGCAGACATCTCTTTGATAAGGGAGTGTTGCTATCAAAACCTCGTGAAGGACTATGATGTGATATTAATACTGAGAATTTTGCTGTTTGGGTTGTCTCAATGTCATGTTGTAAATCTGATACAACACTATTACTACTTGAAATAATTCGGTTCTATCGACTTTTCAAAAAAAAAAAAAACAACAAACAAACAAAAACAAAAAACAATTCGATTGCCTGCTGACGTTTAGTTTTCCTTATCATGTCATGCTGCCTGACGTTCAGATACAAATTCATTTTTGTGACATAATAT